TTGCTTTTTATTATATTTAGGTACGACCCTTGTATCCCCAATCTCTCCAATACCTTATCATGAAGGGGTGTTGGCTTTTTTCAAATGCTTTTTCAGCATCTAATGAAATGATGATATGTCTTTTTCTTTCAGTTTCTTTATGTGATGGATTGCATTGATAGATTTTCGTATGTTGAACCAGCCCTGCATCTTTGGGATGAAGCTTACTTGATCATGATGGATTTTTTTGACATGTTCTTGGATTTGATTTGCCAGTATTTTATTGAGATTTTTTGCATCCATGTTCATGAGTGAGACTGGCCTATAATTGTCTTTCTTGGTTGAGTCTTTGTGTGGTTTTGGTATTAGGGTAACTGTAGCCACATAAAAAGAGTTTGCCAATGCCCCTTCTGCTTCTATTATGTGTATAGGTGTTAACTCTTCTTGGAAGTTCTAGTAGAATTTTGCACTAAAACCATTCGGCCATGGGTTTTTTTTTTGGGGGGGGGTTGATGTCAGCTTCCATTTCCTCACAGCTTATAGGTCTATTTAAATGGCTAACCTGGTCTTGATTTAATTTTGGTATATGGTACATATCTAAAAAATTGTCCATTTCTCTTATATTTTCCAATTTTGTGGAGTATAGGTTTTTGTAGTAAGACCTAATGATTCTCTGAATTTCCTCAGTGTCTGTTGTTATGTCCCCCTTTCATTTCTGATTTTGTTAATTTGGATATTCTCTCTCCCCCTTTTGATTAGTTTGGACAAGGGTTTGTCAATCTTGTTGATTTTCTTAAAGAACCAGCTCTTTGTTTCATTGATTCTTTGTATCGTTTTCTTTGTTTTTATTTTGTTGATTTCAGCCTTGATTTGATTATTTCCAGTCTTCTACTCCTCCTGGGTGAGTCTGCTTCTTTTTGTTCTAGAACATTCAGGTGTGCTCTTAAGCACTAATGTGAGCTTTTTCTGTTTTCTTTATGTGGGCATTTAGGGCTATGAACTTTCCTCTTAGCACTGCTTTCATAGTGTCTCTTAGGTTCGGATTTGTTGTGCCTTCATTTTCAGTGAATTCAAGGAAGACTTTAATTTCTTTCTTTATTTCTTCCTTGACTTAGGGGTGGTTCAGTAGTTGACTGTTCAATTTCCATGAGTTTGTAGGCTTTCTGAGAGTGGTGTTGTTAAATTCTAACTTTAATCCCTGGTGATCTGATAAGACACAGGGGCTTACTCCAATTTTTTGGCATCTGTGGAGGTTTGCTTTGTTGCTGAGTATGTGATCAATTTTAGAGAAGGTTCCATGAGGTGCTGAGAAGAAGTTATATTCTTTTGTGTTTGGGTGGAGTGTTCTATAGATGTCTGTTAAGTCCATATGATTCATGACATCTGTTAGTTCTCTTACTTCTCTGTTAAGTTTCTGTCTGGTTGACCTGTCCATTGGGGAGAGTGGAGTGTTGAAGTCTTCTGCTATTAGTGTGTGGGGTTTGATGTGCGATTTAAGTTTTAGTAATGTTTCTTTTACATATGTGGGTGCTCTTGTATTAGGGGCATAGATATTCAGGACTGAGACTTCATCTTGATGAATTGTTTCTGGTATGAGTATAAAGTGTCCTTCTCCATCTCTTCTGATTGATTTTAGCTTGTAATCAATTTTGTTTAATAGTAGGAGAGCTACACCCGCTTGTTTCTTAGGTCCATTTGATTGGAAAACCTTTTCCCAACCCTTTACTCTGAGGAAGTGTCTGTCTTTGAGGTTGAGGTGTGTTTTTTTTTTCATGATATTTATTGAGCTCTACATTTTTCTCTGCTCTCCTCCCTGCCTCTCCCCTCCCCCTTCAATCCTCCCCCAAGGTCCCCATGCTCCCAATTTACTCAGGAGATCTTGTCTTTTTCTACTTTCTACTTCCTATGTAGATTAGATCTATGTGAGCCTGTCTTGGTGTCTTCATTGTTGTCTAAGTTCTCTGGAATTGTGGTTTGTAGGCTGGTTTTCTTTGCTTTATGTTTAAAAACCACCTATGAGTGAATACATGTGATAATTGTCTTTCTGGGTCTGGGTTACATCACTCAAAATAATATTTTCTAGCTCCATCCATTTTCCTGCAAAATTCAAGCTGTCGTTATTTTTTTCTGCTGTGTGGTACTCCATAGTGTAAATGTACCACATTTTCCTTATCCATTCTTCAGTCGAGGGGCATTTAGGTTGTTTCCAGGTTCTGGCTATGGCAAACAAAGCTGCTATGAACATAGTTGAGCACATGTCCTTGTGGCATGATTGAGCATCCTTTGAATATATACCCAAAAGTGGTATTACTGGGTCTTGAGGAAGGTTATTTCCTAATTTTCTGAGAAATCACCACACTGACATCCAAAGGGATTGTACCAACTTCCATTCCCACCAGCAATGCAAAAGTGTTCCCTTTTCCCCATAACCTTTCCAGCATAAGTTGTCATCAGTGTTTTTGATCTTGACCATTCTTACAGGTGTAAGATGGAATCTCAGAGTTGTTTTGATTTGCATTTCTCTGACTAAGGATGTTGGACATTTCCGTAAGTGTCTTTCAGCCATTTTAGATTCCTCTGTTGAAAGTTCTCTGTTTAGGGCTGTACTCCATTTTTTTTATATTGGATTATGTGATCTTTTGGTGTCCAGTTTCTTGAGTTCTTTGTATATTTTGGAGATGAGACCTCTGTGTGATGTGGGGTTAGTGAAGATCTTTTCCTATTCTGTAGGCTGTTGTTTTGTCTTGTTGACCATATCCTTTGCTTTAAGAAGCTTTTTAATTTCAGGAGGTCCCATTTATTAATTGTTTCTTTCAGTTTCTGTGCTACTGGGGTTATATTTAGGACGTGGTTCCCTGTGCCAATGCATTTAAGTGTTCTTCCCACTTTCTCTTCTGAAAGGTTCAGTGCGGCTTGCTTTATGTTGAGGTCTTTGATCCATTTGGACCTGAGTTTTGTACATGGTGATAGATATGAGTCTATTTTGTTAGTTTTGACACTGTTCTAATGTAGCCTTGGTGGCCTCACACTGCTTTCTTCCCTTCCATCTCTTTTCTTTGGTTTAGGATTTGTGTTGCTCTTTTTTCCTCTTTTTTTTTCTTTCCCTTTGTTTGTTCCTTCCTTTCCTTTCCTTTCCTTTCCTTTCCTTTCCCTTTCCTTCCTTCCTTTCTCATGAGACTGTGTTCCCCTTCATATCCACTCTTGTATCACACCTGTCCATTGCTTAGCCCCTCCAGTGCTGGAATTATCATCATTTATAGTCGCATAGATCACAATTGTCTGTGTGTGATCCTAGGGATTGAATCTAGCTCTTGTCAATGCTGAGTGCTTTAACCTTTGACCTATGCCTTCAGCCCTTCATATATTTACATATGTACTCATTGATGTGTATCATATGACCACTACAGGACTGTGTATCTGAATCCTGAATCTGCAATCAAAAGGCCAGCACCAGAGGTGACCACTCACAGCCTCAATCTTTCTACATTTTGCATTTGCATGAGAGAGTAGAATTTGACCAGAACTACAATTGTATCAGTAGCAGCATCAGGACAGAGGACAGAGGCACCAGTGAGAGAAGTATACTCCTACCACATTTTACTTAAGGTACTTACAGCTTTTGTTTTTTCTATAGGCAATAAAACACTGTGGAAAACAAAACTTTTAGAGAAACATGGCGGGGGAGGGGGGCAGTTATTTCAGTTCCCAGTCACAGGTTATAGTCATCCCTTTGGGGAAGTCAGATCTGCAGGAACATGAGATAGCTGAGAATGAATACATGCTCGGTGCACAACACTCTGTCTCTACTCTTCTGTCCTTTGGTGCCCTAAAGCAGGTCATAATGTCACTCACTTTCAACCTGAGTCTTTCCATTCTTTTTTTTGTTTTGTTTTGTTTTTGTTTTTTCGAGACAGGGTTTCTTTGTGGCTTTGGAGCCTGTCCTGGAACTAGCTCTTGTAGACCAGGCTGGTTTCGAACTCACAGAGATCTGCCTGCCTCTGCCTCCCGAGTACAGGGATTAAAGGCGTGCGCCACCACCTCCCGGTGAGTCTTTCCATTCTTATTAAGGTAACCTAGACAATCCCCTAGGCCAACCTGATCTAGACAAAAACTCATTGAGACTCAGTTTCCAGGTGATGGTTGGTGGTGGAAAGTTGACAAATAGAATCACCCATCACAATTAAACACTGGGACAGAAAAATGAGCAAACTAACTCTGTCTTCCAGAGAACGGGCTCAGCATCTATAGCTCAGTGTTAAGCATGATGTGGGATTCCCCTTTATATGCTGTGAATATGTTTTATTACCGTTGGTTAATAAAGAAACTGTTTCGGCTTATGGTAGGGCAGAATAAAGCAAGGTGGGAAATCCAAAAAGAGATACAGAGAGAGTAGGTGGAGTCAGAGAGACACCATGTCGCTGCCAAAGGAGACAGATGCCAGAATCTTACCAGTAGGCCACAGCTTCGTGGAAGTACACAGATTAATAAAAATGGGTTCATTTAAGATGTAAGAGGTAGGTAGAAATACGCTTGAGTCATCAGCCAAACAGTGTTATAATTAATATAGTTTCTGTGTGATTATTTGGGTCCGGGTAATGAATGAGGAGTCTCTGAATACAGACTTAAGTAAGTTCAGTTTCTAGTCCATATACAGGGCAATTGAAAGCTGCCTGGCAGGCCAGTTCTAGGGAGTCTGGACTCTGAGGGCATTGCACTCACATTTGCACAAATGCACACACATGGACATACACAATTATAGTCTTTTTATTTCAAGGATACAAGTAACTCCAATTTTCTTAATTGTAATCAGTCAATAAATGTTGTAAATACTAAACAAAAAAATATAAGTTTTTCTGTAGTGTTGTACTTGAGGCAGAAAGAACAGACTAAAAGCCAATTCTGGTCAGTTGGTTTTACAAAAGAAATTATGATGAATACATTTTGAGTCTATAATCTCAGTGTGCATTGTGCTCTTGTGTGTTTATTTTTTAGATTAGACGTGTTTTCTTTGTGAAGAAAGAATGGCTCTTCTAAAGATACACGGTTTCGTCCAAATCCGAAGCAAGAACCGGAGCAAGCACACCCGGGGTTCTCAGTGGAAAGAGGCAGTCATCGAAACAGTGGAGAGGAAGCAGAAGGCTCATCTGGTGGTCTCCTTTAAGTTGGAAGGAAGGAGAAGGGTTTTCCCGCTGGGTGGTAATGTTGCAGGTGTAGTGGTTAGTTATTGTGAGGCTGGACTGCACCGTCTGCATTTAACTCTGAAAGATGACACATCCTTACTCATCGACAAGCTATCTGCCTTCGATGTTGAACAGTTGAAGGCTGTCCTGGATTCTGTTCATCCATCTGAATCCCAACAACTCGAGGAACCAGAGAGGAATCCGGATGTTCTTGAAAGCGGCGATCTATTTTGCCGGAAGCACCAGGATACATTTTGTGGATCTTTGAATATCACACAAGAAAGTGAGGCGCTGTTCCCCATGAATATGTCGCTTTCAATGGCAAACTCCGCCAGCGGTTATGTTGAAGAAGAGAGAACAGAGAAACAGAACAAGAAGCGGAAGACGATCTCAACATCCACTGTAGATTTGAATGAGGTCTTTCTCAAAGAAAGTAATACCGAATCAAGAAAGAAATCCAAGAGCTACAACTCCAGGAACAAAAGAAACAAAGGAGAGAAGCTGATGCCTATAAGAGATCAGGAAATGCATACCAACTGGAAACTTGAGCCGTTATTCAGTACCAACTCCTGCGGGAAGCTTGACCTAGACGACACTGTTTTTGCAAGCGGATCCAAGTTTAGCCAGGAGATCCCAATACATAACGATATCCAGTCTCCTCTCGATACTTGCGCAAAGCAGCTGACGCGTGAAGGCTTCCCCAATTTAGGCAACACCTGCTACATGAATTCCATCTTACAATCTGTCTTTGGGATCCCAACCTTCGCAAAGGACTTGCTCACACAAGGTATCCCATGGGAGAAAGTTTCCTGTGATGATCTCATCAAGCCCTTAAGCCAGCTTCTTGTCTTGAAAGACATCAGAGATGTCGAGATCAAGGGACAGTTACTCATAAATGTGAAGAAGTCCATTTCCACGGTTGCAGACACATTCTTGGGCGATGAACAGAATGACGCCCATGAATTTTTAAGTCAGTGCTTAGATCAGTTGAAACTGAACGTGGAGAAACTGAACGCCATGTGCATTACTGAGAGGGAAAACGAAGTTGACGATTTTTTTCCATCAGCCTATGCTGGAGCTGCCTCCACCAAAATGTTTGTTTGTCCTGTCAGTGCTAATTTTGAAATAGAGCTGGATAGCTCTATTGTTTGTGAAGCCTGTGGTGAGGCGACCTTCAACACCGAAGTGAGTAATTACCTCTCCGTTGACCTGCACCAAGGGACAAAAGAACACCCTCTGTCGATTCAGAAGTCACTTGATCTTTTCTTTACACCTGAAAAAATTGAGCGCAATTGTGAGAAATGCAAGAACAAGAATTCTGTGCTCAGATATACTTTGAGGAGACTCCCAAGGGTCCTTATCCTTCATCTGAAACGCTACCACTTTACTGCTAACAGGTTGTTAGTGAAGAGCCAGCAGCCAGTTGAGATTTCAAAGTATCTGGATGTCTCTTCCCATTGCAATGAAAACACGAAGCCACCATATCCCTTGAGCAGTCAGTCCCCTCACGAGGCCTTTGGTGTCCCAAATGTCTCTGAAGAGATGATGCCTGACATCCTCAGCCAGTCGATCCCAGCTAAGAGGGTGGCTTCAGATTTCATTGATTTCACAGTCCTACAGGTTGGCTCCACTGAGGACGCTGAAGTCCAAACCTTGCACAGGATGTATGAGGAGCTCAGTGAGGAGCAGTGGCAGAGAGGCCTTGAAAATGGTCCCAAAGTGGAGCCAAAGGCAGTAAAGAGAGAAAACAGGATGCTTAGCGAGAAGACATTGTCAGCACCTGACTCAGTGATGTGCGACCCTCTCAGCATCCACATCCCAGGTCTTGCAGAGATAGGTCTTCAACAGGTCTCCAAGAATTCCGAATTTAAGAAGTATGAGAAAATCAATGTATATGGAAAGTCAGATCATTACACCGCAACTGAGATGGCCAATTTTTTGTGTGATCTTAAAGAACAAAACATCCTGGATGGATCCCAAGAAATTGCCGAACAGCTCCTCCAGATGCACGGGAGTCGAATCCACGCGGAACTGCTGCCTTGGGCATCACCTCAAAGTGTTCGCAGTACCGAGGAAGACGCCGGAGCCAGGAACACTGAAACTGACTCAAGAAACGCAGCGCTGGGAGCAGATCCCCAGAACTACAGGCTCGTCGGTGTCGTCAGCCATTTTGGGAGCTCCCAAGATTCAGGCCATTATGTAAGCGATGTGTATGACTTTCAAAGGCAGGCATGGCTCCTGTACAGTGATGTCCAAGTGTTCGAGATCCCAGAGGCCTTGATTCAGGAGAATCGGCTTCACACCGGATACATTTTCTTTTACATGCGAAATGAGATTTTTGATTGGCTGTTGAAAAAGGCGTCAGAGTGCAAGTTACTGAACACATCTCAAGATGAAAAGAATACAGAACTTTTTTCCACCTTGCTTAATGGCTTTACATACCTTCTGGAAGAATCCTAAATTCTATCCAGAAGAATCACACAGCTCAAGATTAAAACTCAGCAAACAGAACACAGCAAACAAACAAACTTATTAGGAGAGAAACCCAGACAGCTCTGATGCAGGCGATGCACCATTCTCTCTAAGAAGGCCATAATGGTGTTTTTTTTTCTTTTGCTGGCTTTTCAAGACAGAGTTTCTCTGTGCATCCCTGGCTGTCCTGGAACTCACTCTGTAGACCAGGCTGGCCTCAAACTCCACCTGCCACTGCCTCCCTAGTGCTGGTATCAATGTGTGTATCACCACCAGCCAGAAATAATTTTTTTTAAAAAATTATTTATGTTTATTTAATGTGCACTCGTGTTTGCCTGCACGTATGTCATCCGTGTGAAGGTGTTGGACTCTCTGAAGCTGGAGGTACAGGCAGCTGTGAGCTGGCATGTGGGTGGTGAGAATTGAACCTAGATCCTCTGGAAGAGCAGACTGTACTCTTTTCCACTGAGCCGTCTCCGGTATCAGGTGGATGACTTTTAAAATACCATTCTGAACCAACACAGCGAGGAACTGGCTATCGGTCCAAATGTTAGGGTCCAGCATCATAAGCGGTTCAGAAACAGTACTGATGGACTTAAAAGTCTGAGAAACAGTGTGTGGAATTTCTCATTTGTTAGTGTAAATATGAATTGATTATGTCATCGAGAGGATTTTCATTATTGTCTGTTTTTCCTAGATTCATAGGAACTGTTCTTTTGTCAATTTATTAAAACCACTGCCTTCTGTATGTGTTTGACTCATTGCTGAAGAAATTTTCTGGCTGTCAACCAAGTTGTTTATGCTTCCTTCAGAATTGCAGGGCATAACATCTGGGTTACAAGCAAATAATAGATAGTATGGTAAATTTGCAAATTCTAAGCCCTCTAAGGGCTCAGTGGGTAAAAACCCAGCCACCAAGCCTGGTGACTCTATTTCTGCAAGTTGTGCTTTGATCTCTAGAGGAGATAATAGATTACATGTGCATATCAACGCATAAATAAATGAGCGAATATGGTTTTTAATGTCACTATGTCGCTCTGGGTGGCTTGGAACTCTCTATGGAGATCAGGCTACCCCCATTGTCACAGATTTTCCCTGCCCTGCCTCCTGAGTGATGCTAAGTCTTCACCACAATATCTAGCATAGTAAATTTTAAAGCTCTCTGAAAAAAAAAAATATATATATATAAATATACTTGTTAGATTTAAATCCAGATTGGCCATGCTGTGGTGGTGTAATATAAATATAGTTGTTAGATTTAAATCCAGATTGGCCCTGCTGTGGTGATGCACACCTTTAATCCCAGCCCTTGGGATGCAGAGGCAAGTGGATCACTGAGTTTGAGGCCAGCCTGGTCTAGATAGTGATTTCCTGGACTGCCAAGGATATACAGAGAAATCCTATCTTGAAATCTGTCCCTGCCCCCAAAGAGAGAGATGTTAAATCCCGATTGATGTGATGGTCCGAGAAAATGTGATTCAAGGGACAGAGTCTGAGACAGACTGTCCTTCAGGCGAGAGCCCCATAGATCCACACAGACAGCACGGCGGTGTTCTGACGAGAGAGCTTTCAGATCCTAAGACAAAGCAAGGTCCCCTTTAGTTTCTAAGGGAAGAAAGAGACCCTGTACCATGAAGCAACAGGCTTACTTAATGCATAGCCCATAGTTGATGCTCACAGCTGGTCACCTCTAATTTCTGGGCAGCAAGGGGAAGGAAAAACTAGTTGGGGTTTCTGGCTATGAAGTGTGTAGCCTTATCTGAGACATGCCACATCTAACTCTTTAAAATATGAAAAAAAAGTATAGAGTCACTTTCAAGGGTCTACAGAGATAATTCAGAAGCCCAGAGTAAGCCAGGCGGTGGTGGCACACACCTTTATTACCAGTACTCAGGAGGCAGAGGCAGGAGGATCTCTGAGTTCAAGGCTAGCCTGGTCTATAAGAGGTAGTTCCAGGACAGGCACCAAAGCTATACAGAGAAACCCTGTCTTAAAAAACCAAAAAAAAAAAAAAAAAGGGCACTTGGTGAGCAAGCATGAGGACCCGAGTTGAAATCCCCAGCACTCATACAACAAGCTGGTCATGGCCACATATGCCTATGGCAGCAGCACTAGGGAGCAGGCAGTGGTGGGTTGTAGCGCTCACTAACTAACCAACCTAGCCAAATGGTAAATGTAAGATTCAGTTGTGGGACACTCACCAGAGAAGACTGCTCAGACACTGGTTTTAGCCAATAGTCTTTACTAGCTGGCTGGGGACTACACTGGGTGTTCAGGATCCCATTGTAATCCAAAGCCTTTCTCAGGATTAGCTTGTCAGCACAGAAACCACGTCCTGGGTTCACACACTTCAGTTAACAAGATTTGGCTAGAAGCAGAACTACAGTAGCCCAAAAAAAAAAAAAAAAAAAAAAAAAAAACAAGGTTAGGATTAGAGACTTCCCCTTAACTGCAGACTTGTACAGCTTAGTATAGAGAGCAAAAGGTCTTGTACATACATTCAAGCCCTGGAGTTTCACTACTGGAGATTTGTGTCTATGTATTATGTATGCAGTGCTCTGCCTGCATGTATCCCTGCAGGCCAAAAGAGGGCGTCAGATCTCATTACAAATGGTTGTGAGCCACCAATGTGGCTGCTGAGCCATCTCTCCAGGCTCCTTGTCTATGTCTTTATGTTTCCTTCTGAAAGCTCTCAGATTCTAGAACAATGTAATATCTAAAAAGAACAGACTATTAATTTATTAAATAATGCAGTTGTTAAAGTGGTCTCTCAAAAATCATCCCTTACTGCTAAAGAGTCTATAGAAATTACTGTGCCTCTTGATAAAATGCGGGTCAATTGTTTGTTTCTCACTAATAAGAATCTCGACAGGGTACAGTAGCGTGTTACTTGGATTCTATAGATAATTATCCACAATTTTCCCTCTTAAGAATCTTAAAGATGCATTGTGGGTATTTGCCTAAAATTACATCTAAAAATTCTTTCGATTTAGGATTTTAAAATATAATAGAACCTGCTTCTAATGCTTCTGTAGATAATTCTTTAAAAGGAAAAGGAACATGTATTCTATATACGAATTCCACAGGCTCCTCAGAGAGCAACCATCCCAGGAGGTAGAGCTGAAAAGTCTCATTATAATACATAAGCTTTAATTAGACGTTTCTTAGCCATTAACTATTTAAGTGACTTTGCTATATTTAAATGTTGGTGACAGTTTTTTTTGGATGGATTAAGAAAAATCAAAGTCTTATAGTCATAATGGATAGCGTTGGGTCCCCAGTTTGCATATCCTCAGCCCAGATTGTTATCCTGAAAAGATATTAACTGACCTCATGTATAAATTAGCACATTGAGGAGATAGTCTTTATCTCAAGATTTGTAAGTTCAGTGGATATGGGTAAAATTCTGTAAAATCTGTAACAAAAATTTAGCTTAAAACTCATACTAAAAGACTGGTAGTTAAATCTATTAATAACATAATTTTAGTTTCCTTTAGCTTTATGCATACATACACATATATGATTCAGGTCTTTAAAAATTAGGTCTGCTACATTTCAGCATGTAAAATAGATACATTTTTAATACCAGCCACATAGTTTGCCTTCATCGTAGCTGATGTCTCATCAGGATAAGAAGTCCACGTGCCTGGTAGCCATCTTTCCTAAGGTTAAAAACCACAGGCCACACAATTTACCACTTTCTTAAACTGACCATGTGGCATCAACCAACTAAGACAACACTCCTAATACTTAGGCTCACTAAGCCTTCTGTTTGTTATTATTCCTTTTAGACTAAAGAAACAATGACAAATCTCCAAGATATTTTGGATTACAATGGTTTTTATATGATACGTTCCTAAGGTTGTGAAGGTATACTCAGGTTAACAAAAATCGATTTAGAAATGTTTGTCTAAAACTGTATAATCCTAATCTTATAAAAGCTACTAACTTGTTGTAAACTGTTAAAGATAGTTAAGACACACAAATTAATGGTCAATCACCTTATAAATGACTGAATGTTTTAATGTGCTCAAAACTAAGTTTATAGTCATAGTAAATACAAAAAACGATGCATTTAAAAAGAAACTTTGACCTATATGTTTTCAATATTAAGGTTAAAGTAAATAACTAAAAACAAAGTTTGATTAAAGTCAGATATATTTCCTAGATGGTTACATCTTTAAATCATGTATCCATTCAATAACACACTAGCAGCATTAACAAAATAAGAAATCTTCTCTTTTATTACTAAAGCTCCAATTTTAAATTTATTTTTTTGTACAACTCAACAGGTTTTAAAATGAGAATGTAAACAGACTTAGGGTGGATTAGAAAGTAAAAGTAAATTAAAATTAAAAAGTTTTTTAAAAATATTTCTTCTAAATAATCCCATGGCTCCACAATACAAATATAGTTCTATACTTCTCATATTGACTTGGAGACCATAGGAAGTTAAACCAAATTACAGTGAAGAAAAAAATAGGTTAGCTTAAAGTTTTTTATATAAAACTATTTTGGTACAGCTTAGAAGTCTGTTACATCACACTGCCTCCAGTGTGAACACTGCCTACGTAGTCAAACTGAAGCCGCAAACGAGTGGGAGCCGCTACGCCTTCCTGCCGCTCACACCTTTGCTTTCGTTCACACTATCGACCTCTTCTGAACTTTCTTGTTTACATAAAAACCCTTGATTGTTTTCTCTTTCAGGATTTTCTGTGTTTATTTCTTCAGTACTTACCTAATAGAAGATTCTTAAACTCAAATTTAAATTTGCACTAAATTTTAAAAAGCTCAAATCTTTTCACCTTAAGTTGGAATCTTTTTTTAAAAAAAATTAATGAGCACTGTTGAAATGAAATGCATCCTTGGTCTGATATATGATCAGACACTGACAAAAGAGATTGAGAAACAGCCCACACAAGTCTAATGTTCATCAAAGCCTTTTATCACAGTATAAAGACATCCGCTTACGCCCAGCTTCTAGGACG